CAGAGCTGCTGGTGTGTTGGAACAGACAACCTCTCAGTTAGCACCTGAGTGCTTAACGCTTGCACCACCATGTCTCCTTGTATGGTTCTTAGGCATCTGAAATATTACATGTTTAAAACACAACTTTTGATTTCTCTCCCTCACCTGGACTTCAGTATTGCTCCTCTCCCTGTCTTGTGTTTGCTTTTCCAGGGAATGGCACTAGCCCAAAACCATCACAAAGGATGAAAACCTAGGATTCTTCCTTGTTTTTTGTGTTCTCTTTTCCTCACACCTCACATCTAATCTATCAACAAGTCTTGTTGGTTCTACCTTTAAAATGTATCCTAAATCCTATCACTTCTTTAGTCTTCCATGCACTTTTCTTACACAGGGTCCCCACCAACTGCCCTCGAGTCAATTCTGACTCATAGTGACCCCCATTGGGTTTCTGAGGCAGTAAATCTTTACAGACGTACATTGCCCAGTCTTGCTTCTGTGGAGCGGCTGGCAGGTTTGAACCACCAACCTTCTGGTTAGCAGTCCCATGCTCCTTTAAATCTGGTTGAAATTGGTGAACTTTTCTTCATTTCCTTTGGTGTCACTCTGGTCCAAGCTAGATTTACTTATGAAGATTCCTGTAATACTTTGTAACTTGTCCCTCTGGTCCCGCTCTGGCTCCCTTCCATTCTATTCACCACACAGCTGCTAGAATAATCATACTTCACAATACTGGGAATAAGATGCAAGCTCCTAACCAAGCCTATGAGATTCTGCATGGGATTGGTTTCCTCACCTCTTGACTTCATCTCCTATCACTCACATCCCAGTGCTCCCCCATTCCCACCCTCAGCCTCACCTGCCTCCTTGCTGTTCCTCACACTCTAGGCTCCTTCTTGCCCCTGGTCTTCCACACTTGCTGCTGAGAATGCTCTTCCACCAGATCTTTGCCTGCCCAACCCCTTCACATCAATCAAGTGTCAATTCAAATATCACCTCTTCACAAGTGCCTCCATGACTTCCTTTGGTAAAATAGCTGCCCCTCCATCAGTTTCTTTTCCCAAACTCTGCTTAATTTTTCTGTATTGGTTTGATCACTACCTGAAATTATATTATTTGTTGAGTTTTTTAAAACATGGGCTGGTGTCTGTGTTCCCCACCTGACTATGTGTTCCACATGGCAGGACTCTGTCTGTCTTGCTTTCTACAGTATTCTATCACCTAGAACTGTGCCTGATACACTGCAAGTGATCAAAGGTATAGGCTGATCACAGGAAAGAGTTTGTCTCCAATTTTGTCATTAACCTCTTGTGTCTTTCTTGGCAGGGTGAAATCTGCCTCTGTACCAGCAGGATCTTTGTCCAGAAGAGTATCTATAGAGAATTTTTGAAGAGATTTGTAGAAGCTACCAGAAAGTGGAAAGTTGGCATTCCCTCTGATCCAACAGCCAGCATGGGAGCACTGATAAGTAAAGCACATTTGGAGAAAGTACGTACGTCTTTGCAATATAAGTTACAGAAAGAGGTCCTATTTGGAGAAAGGATTGATACAAGGCATAGCACACATCTGCGCTTTGAAATATTGATAATTATTACCCTATTTTTGAAAAATTATGACCTGTATGTATCTGGGCACAGAAATGAAATGTTTTGGATTTTAAGCAGTATCCATATGAAATGAAAGCATTTGAGAAGTCAGCAAGGGGACACTACCAGTAGAGTGTTTTTATGTGCCGTCGAGTCAGACCTGACTCATAGCAACCCCTCCTTGGGTTTCCAAGGCAGTATCACTACGGAAGTAGATTGCCCAATCTTCCTTCTGAGGAGTAGCTGTTGGGTTTGAACCGCCAGCCTTCTGGTTAGCAGTCAAGTGCCTTAAGCACTATGCTACTAGAGCTCCACCAGTAGAGTAGTGAAGGTGAATTTCAAAACATAAAGGCCATCTAATAATAGATGAGGAATATTGAATGTAACATGGACTGTATGAAGAATGAGCACATCTATCTTGGAGGAAGTACAGCCTGAGTGTTCCTTAGAAGCAAGAATGGCTAGACTTTGTCTCTTGTACTTTGGTCATGTTATCAGAAGAGACCAGTCCCTGGAGAAGGATATCATGCTTGGTAAAGTAGAGTGTCAGTGAAAAAGGAGAAGACCCTCACGAGATAGATTGACACAGTGGTTGGGGCGATGGGCTCAAGCATGGCAATGATTGTAAGGATGGTGCAGGACCAGATAGTGTTTTGTTCTGTGGTACATAGGATCGCCATGAGTTGGAACTGACTCAGCAGCACCTAACAACAACAATAAGAATGGTGTGGACCGTGGGTCACTGGGAATTCTGTAGTTACTCCAAAGTTTCCTATGGAAAAGGTCCTGGTGTGTCAGGATTGGGTGTGGCAGATGGGGTTCAGAAGTATCAGCACAATCAAAATTGTGTGGTTCTTAGTCAGAGGGGTGACAATTGGTGGTCATCTGGGAGAAGCCATCATGACCTCTAAATGATTTGTGAAGATCTTTAGGGTCATTTTAATTAATTACCATCATGTGACTCCCATAAGAAGTCATAGTGTTTTGGAGCTAGAAGGACCTTGTTTTACAGCTGTAATAACTGAGACCCACCAAGGGAGACTTTCCCTCATCAGTTAACCAACGAGGGACAGAGTTAAGTTTATAGAAATTTCTGACACTGCACAATTCTTTGATCCATTGATTACATTTTAATTTTGACCTCCACTATATTAGCATAGTGCCTAAGACACTTGACTGCTAACCAGAAAGCTGGTGGTTCAAACCCACTGGCCACTCCTCAGAAGGAAGATGGGGCAATCTACTTCCGTAGTGATACTGCCTTGGAAACCCAAGGAGGGGTTGCTGTGAGTTGGGTCTGACTCGATGGCACATAACAACAACAACAACATATTGTGAAGCACAGATACTTGTAGTTGGGAAGATGCAGTAGCTTGACTCTCTCTCTTCTTATTTCTTCTATTTTCCCAGTGAAATGGGAAGCAGGGTCTCCTATCAAGGGTGAGAAGGAGAGGAGCTGTTGGAGGTTTGTGGAGGGAGAAGGTGTGTGATGGTCTTGCAAAAGGGCAGAGAGTAAGTGGACTCAGAAATGACAGTGTGGGAGACAGCTTGAAGGTCTCACTTTAGGCTGGTGAGACTGGCCAGCCTGGCTCCAGTCACATTCCCCTGTAGACCATAGGCTTATAGGCAGTTGTTCCTACAGTATCCAGGGGGACCCACAGTTATGGATAATCCCACATTCATGGAGTAGGGATTTTACCAGAGGCAAGAGACTTTTTTGTCCTGTCTAGTGCCCAGCTGTTCTGCTTACTGGGGCTGCATGCCTGCCCTCTATACATGCACATAACTGGTGAAAACAGCCTTCCCACATTCCTATGTGCTTCCTTTGAGAAAGGGGTGGAGAAAAGTTAACTTCCTGGGAGCATTTTCCAGGAGTGCAGGTGACAGTAAGGTCTGGGTCCCCTCTGGTGTTCACCCCCACACCTGAGACTCAAACATCTCTCTGTGTTAACTCAGCAGATAAACTGTTTCTTCTGTTTTAGGCACTGCTATGATTCAACAAATTAAAGTGACCAAGTGAATAGTTTGTATGCGCCCCCCTGCAACCTGCTCAAACACACAGTCTTTTTGTGTGTGTAGAGAAACTGACCCACCCACACATGGACTCATTGGGAGCTATGACATTTTTTTTTTTTTTTCTTCTACCATACTCTGAACATTTGTTCCTTTTGAGCAACTGAATGAACTTAGGCCTTTTATAGGCTCATCAAGTTTTCAAGTATTATGATTATGGTGGGGTTTAGTGAATACATTTGATGCTTAACATGTCACTGGTTGGCTGCAGGAGCACACTCTAACCTGTTGCTCTCCATGTCTTTTGGAATCCACCTCAGGCACTCCTGGAGGCATCCCTGTTCTCTACAACCAGCAGCTTCAGGTCCCCTGTCTTAATTTTCTGGAGTTGCTATAAGTGGCATTTTAGTTCTCTAGTGCCAGGGTTTCTATGCAAGGGTCTCAATGCAGGGATTTTGGGTCAAAGACGCACTCCACTCCTGTTTCCACATTTTAGTATCTGTCAGAGCAGCACCTCACTCCCTCTGTACCAAATTCTGTTTTGGTTACCTCTTGTGCTCCTCTAACAGAAATACTACAAATAGATGGCTTCAACAAACAGAGATTTACTCTCTTACAGTGTGTTGTTGTTGTTGTTATTTGCCGTTGAGTCGGCCCCAACTCATAGCGACCCCTCCTTGGGTTTCCGAGGCAGTATCACTACGGAAGTAGGATTGCCCAACCTTCCTTCCGAGGATCTTACAGTGTAGAAGGCTATAAATCTGAGTTCAAAGTGTCAAGATCGAGGGGTTGGGTGAAGGCCCCTTGACCTTGATCTTTAGCTCTACCTTTTGCTCCCAGCCCACTGGAGCTGGAGGCGTCTCTTCACTCAGGCAGCTGCTGTCTGCTGAGGCTGACAAACCCACAGTCAACAAATAAAATGGCACCATCCCAAGATTACCAAACAACACGACAGGCCACTAGTTTAAGTTCAAAAAAGTCCCAAGATCAGCAGAGCTGCTGAATGAAGACTGGGCTACATGTAGGGCCCAAGCATGCCAAACCGCTGAGGAGACCTTTCTCAAAATTTCTCCTTATGTTCCGGAAGCAAAGCACATCCCTAAGGCAGCTACTCAGCTGCTCCAGTAGATTCCACCATGGATCTGATTACCAGTCTCATCACGGGGAACAACTACATCCAGCTGCCCAGCCTCTCAAAACCATGCCCAGCCATGTTGACACGTAACCTTAACTACCACAGATGGCTTTAAAGAGCAAAAATGTATTTTCTCACAGTTCTGGAAGTTAAAAGTCCAAAGGTCTTGTCCATCTCAATTTCTTCCTTGGAGGTAGCCCTGAGTGTTTTTTGGTTCCTTGCTTTGTAGATGTTCTTCACATGACATCTGTCTGCCTTTCCCAGTGTGTGTGCGTGTTCTATATCTAATCTTCTCTTTTTATAACTCAGAAGTGTTTAGATTTAGAACCTACTCCACTTGGGTATAAGGAGCTCTGGTGGTATAGGCTGCTAAACAAAAGTCAGTGGTTCAAACCCACCAGCTGCTCTGCAAAAGAAAGATGAGGCAATCTCCTTCCTTAAAGATTTACCGCCTTGTAAACCAAATGGGAGTTTCTGTCAGTCAGTGAATCAAAATCAAGTCGATGGGATGGCAGTGAGTTTTTTTTTTTTTTTTGGCTACTTGGATATGATCTAATTAAAAAAGAAAACTATTTCCAAACAGGATTACACCCACAGGTATAGGGGTTAAGATTCCAACACACATTTTGGAGGTAAACAGTTTAATCCGTAACACCCTCTGAGTTGCCCTGCCACACACACGCAATAGAACTTCTCTTAGTCAAGCACTGGTTCCTTTCAGTAGAGAAGAGTAATCCAGGCCAGCACCTGACTTTAGGGGTGCGCTTAGATGATCCTTTGTGAAAAACAAAGAGGGAGGCCAATGATATCCAAGAGGAAACAGTTTAAAAACTTACTGTGCCTGAACTCACATGTCGTTCTTTGAAGAAGGGTCCTGTTGTTGGTAGGTGCTGTTCAGTCAGTTACGACTCACAGTGACCCCATTCACAACAGAACGAAACACTACCCAGTCTTGTGCCAACCTCACAATTGTTGCCATGCCCATTGTTGTAGCCACTGTGTCAGTTCATCTTGTTGTGGGTCTTCCCCTTTTTCAGTGACCCTTTACTTTACTGAGGAGCTCTGGTGGTGTAGTGTCTAAGGCATTTGACTGCTAACTGGAAGGCTGGCAGTTCAAACCCATCAGCCACTCCTCTGAAGGAAGGTTGGGCAATCTACTTCCGTAGTGATACCACCTCGGAAACCCAAGGAGGGGTCGCTATGAGTCAGCTCTGGCTCGACAGCAGTGTGTTACTTTTCTAAGCATGATTTCCTTCTCCAGGGAATGGTTCCTTCTGACAACATGACTAAAGTATGAGAGATGAAGTCTGGCCATTCTTGCATCAAAGGAACATTCTGGCTGTAATTCTTCCAAGACAATTTTGTTTGTTCTTCTGGCAGTTAGTCCCCTAGCAAAGTTATTTTAAACCTTGCTCTATTATTATCGTTATTTTATAAATCGCTGTCATGTATCAGGTTATGTAGTCCAATCCCACCTTACTCATAGTCAAAGCCTTAGTTGTTCAGAATGATGTAGGAAACAGTTCATGGTCTGTCCTGTTATCTCTGTGTCCATCCCCTTACGTATTCCATCCTGCACACTGGCCTCCCTGTTCTCCTAGAAAATACCAGGCATGTTCTTGCTGCATGTTTGTTGTTCTATATTTTAATTTTTAGAGCTATTTTTTCAATTGCTTTATTCTGATAATTCCCCTTGTTGTTGTTGTTTGCTGTCGAGTCGGACTTGACTCATAGCTACCCCTCTTTGGGTTTCTGAGGCAGTATCACTATGGAAGTAGATTGCCCCATCTTCTTTCCGAGGAGTGGCTGGTGGGTTTGAACCGCCAGCCATCTGGTTAGCAGTCAAGTGCCTTAGGCACTACACTACCAGAGCTCCAATTCCCCTTAGGAGTAAAATAATGTATCATTGTAACTTCGGCAACATTTCCATATTAAAATATATGATGATTATAATTAGTCATTTCTACAGCCATTATTAATTAACTCTGAGTCACTGGGTTAACTTATTACATAATTTATTTTCCATCATAGTTAACTATAGTATGTTACCTAGGTATGGTTTCTAGTTATAATCAGTAATAAGATTATCAATTATTTATTCTGTAAACTCAGCTATTGAAGGGCATCCTGGCCTTTGACAAAATCATTTACTTCTTATTTTCTGCAATGGATGTACCCCAACAAGTGAGGAAATATTCTTTTGAGTTTTATCTCTAGGTTATACTGAGTGTGCATACTAACTTTTTAGTAGCTGTGTGAAACTGGGTACTCATTAACCCTTTTAGGGGCTCAGTTGTTGTGCCATCAAGTCAGTTCTGACTTACAGTGATCCTTAGGACAGAATAGAACTGCCCCGTAGGGTTTCCAAGGCTATAATCTTTTCAGGAATGGATCACAAGGTCTTTCTCCCATAGAGCGCCTAGTGAATTTGCACTGCTGACCTTTCAGTTAGCAGCTGAGTGCATAACCACTGCACCACTGGAGCTCCTTGAAGCTCAATTAGGAGATAAAAATGCACACCTGTATTAATTTCATTGCCATAATAAAATACCACACACTGGATGGTTTACAGGAACAGAAATTTATTGTCTCAGGTCTGATGGCTAGAAGCCCATACCAGTGTTGGCAGAGCATTTCTTCTTCTGAAGGCTTTTGGGGAAAATCCTTTCTTTTTTTCTCCCAGTTTCTGGAAGTCCCAGGCATTCCTTAGTTTGTAGAAGCATCTTGACGTGACTGTTCTTCCTCTGTCTATATCTCCCGTGGATGTCTCTTCTCTTTTTATATGATGCCACTCAGATAGGATTAGAACACACCCTACTCAAGTATGGCCTCATGTTAACTGATAACATCTTCAAAGACCTTATTTCCAAACAAGGTCATGTTCACAGGTACCAGGCGTTAGGACTTCAACATTTATTTTTGTGGAGACAATTCAATCTATAACAATACCTAATAGAATTTTCAGAGACTTAAGTGAAATAATGTCTGAAAAGCACTCATCTGAGGGCCTGACACTTATAAATGAAATGAGCTCATTTTCTCCACCTCCCAGTTTGAATGAGGACCAAATGCCTGAATGATGATTAGAGTCTTTTGGCCTTCAGTCTCAGCTACTGAGTGAGAAGATGGTTAATTCTGATTTCTTAGCAACGTCCATATACATCTCTCCTAGGTGGTTAGAAAATATTGAATTTTTTGCTGATGTATGTGAGGCACAAATGGTAAAATGTTGCTAATTATAATTTTTACCCACTCAGGTCAGAAGTTACGTCAAGAAAGCTATTGCTGAAGGGGCCCACATTCTGTGTGGTGAGGGAGTGGATAAGTTGAGCCTCCCCCCTAGAAATCAGGACGGCTACTTTATGCTTCCCACGGTGATAACGGACATTAAGGATGAGTCCTGCTGCATGAAGGAAGAGATATTTGGCCCGGTGACGTGTGTTGTCCCCTTTGATAGTGAAGAGGAAGTGATTAAAAGAGCCAACAGCGTCAAATATGGCCTGGCAGCTACTGTGTGGTCCAGCAATGTGGGGCGCATCCACCGGGTGGCGAAGAAGCTGCAGGCAGGTTTGGTCTGGACCAACTGCTGGCTCATCAGAGAGCTGAACCTTCCCTTTGGGGGGATGAAGAGTTCTGGGATAGGCAGAGAAGGAGCCAAGGACTCTTACGACTTCTTCACTGAAATCAAAACCATCACTGTTAAACACTGATCCTCGCCAGTGGAGAACGCTGTTATGGTTAATGCCCAAGTGAAGAGAATTAGTTGTCCAATTGTGGTGAACAGAAATACTGGCATACATCCCAGCCATGTCTTGACTCAGCAGAAGGTTATTTCTAGCTTATCCTCAGTAATTAGTACTTTTACCTACCAGTGAAGAGATGCTGCTATTTTTAGCGTGAGGTCAGTGAAGAGAAGACTTCTGAATAGGAAAGCACACAAAGGAAGCCAAACAATCTTCAGTGTCATCCCATGTGGTTTCTTCAGAATTAATCATTTTGATTAAATTCTTAAGAATTCTTTTTTTTTTCCATTTGCAAGTATAAAGTAAAAAAAAAAAAAAAATTCAAAGAGAAACAAATGACTGTAACTTTCTACCTTGGGGAGGTTGTCCAGGGGGTCTTTCTGCCTATTTACTACTAACATTGCTAACTGATTATTGACTGCATCTCATTACATCTGTGGGTGGTAAATGTCTATGATAAATGTAACATGTAATTTGTCAGAAAAATAAAATGATTTCTAATTTTCATGGAAACTTAAAACAAGGAGATGAAATAGTTTGATCTATTTCTTGTGTCAAGTATAATCAATTCTAATTCTTAGTATATGTAGCCACTCCTTGGAAGGAAGACAGGGCAATCTACTTCTGCAGTGATGCCCCCTTAGAAACCCAAGGAGGGGTCACTATGAGTTGCAGCCAACTCATCAGCAGTGAGTTTGGTTTTTTGGTGGCTTTTGAGGCTGTAGCTTACTAAACCTTAAAAAAAAAAAAAAAAAAAAAGTAATACATCTTAAATAGTTTTAGTAATCAGTATGCATATGCCTTCTTTTTGAATTGCCTTTTATTATTTGTTATCCCCATCCTTTAGGAATATGGACTTTATACTAAGTAACAAAGGTATCTCTAGCACTTTTTTTCTGGTCTCAAAATGATCAGAGGAGAAAATGGAGGTTTACAAAGATTAAGTAACATGCTCAACATCTCACATTGGTATATAGTAGAGGTGGGATTTGAACTCACAGCCTCAGGCTCCATGATCTCTGGTCATGGATTGTGCTGCAGAAGTACTAAAGTACATGGGCACTTCATGTTTCTCTCATGCTTTGCCTCTCCCCTTCTCTCTCCTTCCTGACTACCCTCAATTATAGGTGATGGGCCCCTCCACAGTGGCCACAGCAACCCAGGAACTTCTCCATTGGAACCCCATTCACATGGACTGAAGCCATCTGATAACATGTCTGATTTCCCAGCCAGAAAGGATTGTTGATGGTCAAGGCCGTATATTAATCCCTTCTGAAGTCTCAATTCACAGCACAGTGCCTGTACACAGAAAGTTCTCATAATGAGTTCCAGGAATGGAATGAGAGTTTCTTGCTGCTCTAGGGTATGTGTTGCATGATGTGTGTGTGTATGTGTGTGTGTGATAGAGGGGCAGAGAAAGCTTTATAATTTGCTTAGGATTTCTGATATGTTGGCTTGTTCATAAACATTGAATAGACCACCTTGAGATCAAGTGACCAAGTGACAGTGTCAAGTCATACCTGGTACTTAGAATCTACCTCCACCCCTCCTTTCCTCACCTCCCTTGTTCTCCTGTTGAGATCATGTGACTTTGATTGATTTAGTCCAGGAACAATTCTGAGTATCAGCAGGAGACATTTAAGCAGCTCTAGCCTCTAGGAATCTGCACCTTTACTCTTGTTAGTGGTCTGGCTCTTTTGATTCCAAATTCTGGCAACTGAATCTTCTTGCTCCCTATGCCTGGCTTACCTATCTCCCACAACACATGTTTTCTGCCTATAAGACTTCTAGGTTTTGGAGGCAGTCTTCTTCTTGTCAGTACTTGTCCTGCTTCTGGATCCTGCCTTGTGGAAGGGCCTACTTCCCACTCACAGACATTCTAGATGCTGTCTGTTCTGGTTACTAGTGCAGCTCTGACAAGAACATACCACAGATGGGATGGCCTTAACAAACAGGAGTTTATTCTTACAATTTGGA